ATTTTGATGTTTAAGAAAAATGTATAAAGAAAGCGTAATTAGACAGTATGAAGGTGACTTTTGATTGTGTTCTGGTTTCATGTTTCAGTATTTGTAAGAAACTGAGACTGAAAGAAAAGAATATTGCTTTGATTTGACTTTTTTTTGGTTATTTCATTTTGTTTTTGTAATTTCTTTTACAATGTCAATAATGGAGCCCAAGTGATATCTGTTACGAGCCAGCTGATCTTTGTTGACAAGAGTTGTGATTTCCTGACCGGTCTCGATGCGCATTTGTTTTTCTCTCCACAATTTCTCACACACAAAATGTTCCTTGGAAGAGCTGTGTTTGCTAAGACCCGTGTCCTTCTGTAAGCATGCTTCCAGTCATTAGCCACGTTCACACCGGAGTACTTTTCCCACAATAGTTAATCAGAACTCAGATATATTTGCGTTCACAACCAAAAAGCCCCCTGAACTAAATTAGTTAATCAGAACCATTTTTTACCCCCCTTTTCAGTCCCTGCTAGAGAGCAGGGACTTTCGTGGGAGAAAAAGGTTCCTATGTCTGATTGGCTGGGCGGATTGCAAACCACGCTCCGTAAAACTCCCAAAAAGTTTGTGAAGCCGCCATTTTATTATCCTCGCATTAGCATTATTAGCATTAGCATTAGCCCAGCGCAGAAACGCAGACTAACTTATGGCAACACCAAAATAAAACATGGGAGAGTTGGAGATGAGGAGGTGTCGGCATTCTGGCGATTTACTCGGAAGGCTTCAGTAGAAGCTGCTGGGAGTCCCCAGCAGCTTCTACTGAAGCCAGTCCCCAACTCCGGGGACTTCCGGCCGGGGACTTCAGGTGGCAGTATACGCCCGTGAAGTTGTTTTGCGGCCTGCCAGTAAACTCAAAGCAGAAGAAGAAGAAGTGGCGTCAGCGGCTTCATTTGCCTAATCCACCCCCAGGAACTCATTGCGATGTGAACGCGATCTGCTTTAGTTCATCTGAACTAAAAGAGTTCTCATGAACTATTGTGGGAAAAGTACTTGGTGTGAACGCCCCTTTTTGAAGCCTTTTACGGTGAACGATGCGTCATGATGATGAGCCTTAAACTTTCTACATGGGAAATACGCAGCATCGCCTTTCACGGAGTATTCAAGCCAGGGTCGGTTTTTGGTACCATGAGCTGGAAACCACTACGTTTGTTTCCCGGAGAAGAGCCGAGAGGGGAAACTATCCAGGACTTCCTGTTTTGGTTTATCCACGACCAAAATGCGTTGTTGAATTACCTATCAAGAGTAGTGACCAGAGTTCCCGTTAGCCGGGTAATTACCGGACTATGACGGTAAAATATGCTGAAGACCGGCAAATCTAAATCTCTCCGGTCAAAATGTCCGGTCAAAATAATTTTCCCTTAGCGCAATACCTGCATCAGTTGCGCCACCTTATGTGACAGACAAGAATAGTATGTGACAGACAAAATAGTTATGTGACAGACAAGAATAGTCAATTCTAATGTCTACACTTAATGTGGAGAAGAGATGTCCTGTACTGGGTTGATTGTGCGTTGGTAATGCCTCGGGGTTCCGGTGGGCATGTAAACAAATGCATAATGCTGTGCTATACTTTGTGGCCTCACCCGGTTGCAGATGCGACGCTTATGTTTAGGTGTCTTTTAATAAGAAGGTAGTCATATCATTAGCTAGAACTAGCTAGATCTGATCGATATGGACATAAACGCGAGTAAGTCTAATCTGATGGAGAGAGAGAGATCGGTCTGCTGCTGACGAGTCGACACGCAGCTCTGCATGATCCCCTGCAGCGGCGAGCAGAGCAAAACACACTTCAGGTTAGAACATCACAGGTAGCTATTTTAATTACCTCTCAAACTACCTAAACTAGTTATAGATATGATTTAGTTTTACTGTCGGGTCACTCATTATTGGATCCGCGAGCTGCATATGCATACTGACGGGCTGTCAGGAGAGGGAGAGAGCGCTCCGTTTATTATTCCCGTGTTATTGTAAGTTACTGTACACTTTTGAATAAATGTAGTTAATCTACTATAATTAGTTTGTTTAATATCGACTCATATCAATTTGTTTTAAAGCTCAATAAATAACAAAGAAGACCTTTGACCGGCACTTTTCTCATTTTGTCCGGAAGATTTCAACTTTAACGGACATGTTGACCGGCAAAAAATATTCTAACGGGAACTTGGTAGTGACAGGTGCTTCTTCTCGTCTTTGCTTGGCGCCCAGTGACTCGCAGCAGTTACTTGCCGTTCGAAATCTTTCGATCCACAATGCAGCGCGGTTACGTAATTTGTTGTGTTATCACAGAGGATGGTCTGACTACAGTATTTTACTGTGAAATAATTACAGTAACATGTTTGTGAAATCCTGGGTAACATTTTACAGTGTAGAGTTTGGGTTGCATATTTAAACACAGAGAGAGGAGAAAGGGAGGGGTGAAGCTGGTGATGATGAAGGAGCATGTCTGGGAGTTAGGGAGTTAGGGAGGAGGCGTATCAGGGAAGTCCTCAGGTTCAACCTGAGGTGAAGGTCATACTGTTGGTGCACATAGAGAGTCACTAACAACACTGCAAACACATCTTCTTCATAAGGACTTTCCCCAAGCCTTAGCTAAGAAGTGTGAGAAGTAGCAAATATAGATAAACATTAGCAAATAAGAATCACACAATGATATTATTAAAGTAAGTAAGTCAGTATAATATTGTTCTATTACATACATGATAAAGTTCACTTTCTGAAGTAGACAGATTTTTCTGTTCAGATTCCTTTAAATGTTGAGTAACATCTGATTGGATTATAAAAGGTTTTTCTCCTCATTCATGTTTTCTTTATTCAGACTGAGGCGCTGCCAGGTTGTCAGAGATCCAGCTGTTCTGCTTCTGATCTCAGCTCTGAAGTCCAACATCCATCTGAGAGATCTGGACCTGAGTTACAACACTCTGCAGGATCCAGGAGTGGAGCTGCTGAGTGATCTTCTGGAGAGTCCAGACTGCAGACTGGAGACTCTCAGGTCAGTAAGGGTCTCTGCTGGTTCAGCAGTATTGTATGAAACACAGGGAGGTGTTTCTCTCACTGGGGAATCACAACAGATCAGTGATGTTACCCACTGACTGCAGGCTCTTTCATCTCTTCCATCAACTATAGAAGGCCAGCTGAAAATGCAAAGCACATTTAGTAAGTAATCAACTTTCCACCATACATATGGAATTGGACAGAAGAGTGGAAAAGGTAGTCTGTTTTTGATGGGATGTTTTTTAGCTCCTTGACTAATGACTGTTACTTCCTGTAATGCAGCTGAGAGCTGTGGCAGTCAGTCGTAGTGTTTGCAGAGAAGATATTATGGGATGTAAAGCATGAGATCAGTCAGGACTTTGCAATACACCTGCCCATTGCCCTGAACAAGTTAGATGCCGTCTATCACAGCGCACTGAGATTTGTCACAAACTGTAAAGCACTTACACATCACTGTACCCTGTATGCCAAGGCAGGTTTGCCATCACTTACTGTACGGAGGCTCAGTCATTGGTACACGTTTATTTATAAAGCTTTGTTGGGTAAACTCCCGTATTATATCTGCTCTCTGATAACACAGAGAGTTGCAAGCAGCTATTGTCTGAGGATCGCATGATGTAGTATTGTTACATGTGCCAAGAGCAAGGACTGTCTTAGGTAAGACAGCTTTTATGTGCGCAGCTCCACTTGCTTGGAACAATCTTCAGCTAGAATTGAAACTGAGCAATCTCATTCCTCTGCATGTTTTAAAGCTAGGCTAAATTAAATGCTTTTTGATACTATGGGCACTTGTAAATGTAGCCTGTAAATATAATGTGTGATGTCCTTTATTGTTTTATGTTTGTTTATGTTTCATGTGGAACCTATATGCTGCAGGTCTCCCTTGAAAAAGAGATCTATGATCTCAAGGGACCAAAGAACAAAGACTTATTTAAACTGGATCCATAACTGTTGGATTGTGTTCATCCCTACAGGATCAGAGATGATGAGACGATCAGAGCCAAGATCCAGAAGAACTGTGAGTACTGAATATCCTCCATTCATCAAGATATGAAACTCTTTCATGGAGCATGTCCTCAGAGGAAAACAACACTCTTGTTTCTCTCTCTTCATCATTTTGGCTGTTTTCTCTTCACAAGAACTGTCTATCAAAACAGTGACGCGTTCACTGACACTCTGTAAAATGTAAATAAACTCTGAAGAATAAAACACATGAAAAACATCAACATTATAACCAGTCCGTTACAGTATTATCATCAAAATATACTTCAGTAAAAGTAGAAGTACTCAGATCTGTACTTCAGTAAAAGTAGAAGTACTCAGATCTTGTTCTTGAGTAAAAGTAGAAGTACTCAGATATTTGTACTTGAGTAAAAGTAGAAGTACCAGAGTGTAGGAATACTCTGTTACTGTTAAAAGTAGTCATTGTGCAGATTGGTCCATTTCAGAATAATATATATGATATGTTTTATAATGATTGATCATTAAAGTGTTCTCAAAGCTGGTAAGGTGCAGCTAGTTTGAATGACTTTGTATACTGCAGGGGAGCTTGTGGATTTACTCCAGGTGGAACAAAAGTCTGATTTAAACACTTGGTTATATTTCACATCATTCATCCAGATCTGTGAAGTAACTAAAGGTATTAATACATGTAGTGGAGTAGAAGTACAAAGTAGCATAAAAGGGAAATACTCAGTGTAAAGTACAAGTACCTCAACATTGTACTTAAGCTACAGTGCTTGAGTAAATGTACTTAGTTCCTCTCCTGGTCTGTAAGCTCTCCCAACATATGCAGGTTAGCATCCGGCGCTTCTATGTGCTGGGGACCCGTACTGTACATTTCTCTCATCACACTTTGGGCTCCTCAACATGTGTGGGTTCCCAGCAGACTCTCTGACTGCGCAGACACATTCTTTCTGTGACTTTGTTCCAGATATTTGGAGCATAATAACTGAAGCTTGTTTCTCCATGTTCAGGAACTCCCATCCCCCGAGTCCTGCGGCAGGAAGCGCTCCTTCTCTCAAGAACTCCTGGACCCTGCAAGCTGCTCCAGAACCAGAGTCCCAGTTGAGGAGTCCAGCCAGTCCACCTCTCAGAGTTAACTAAACTAACAACATTATTAAAGATCATGTTAAAGTTAAAAAAGGATGCTTTCAGACTGAATCCAGAAGTTTCTCAAGCTGCAGTCAAGCAGATCATTTGAGGAATATTAAAACAATTATAAAACTGTAATAAGAATTACTCTGAATACTTTCTTTGGACATTTTATTTACATTTCTTTAATCAAATGTTTCTGACTTTCTATCCGAGTGCTTTTCTCATGAATTAACGACTTCAATCTTCTTTCTTTTTTTGTGTATTTCATAAACAGGATATTGTTGTTTGTCCTTATATCCTGATTGATGAGTCAGCAGTAGAGTTGAATTGCAGATTGTGTGCAGAGCTGAAAATGTGTTTAGAGTTCTGTTTGATTTGATCCAGCCAGTTTTGCCACAGCAAAGCATAAGGGCTCAGAGCTTGGACCTATTGTGTTCACATTATATACGCTTCCTTTAGGCAATAAGGAATCACTCGGGACATTTTCATTGTTATGAGGATGATACTCAATTATACACAATGTAGACAAAAGTATTGGACCACCTACACATGAGAGAGATATCGCAGGTCCTTCCTTCCTGCAGCGGTCAGACTATATAACACCCCTTGTTGCTAAATACCAACTATGTGCAATATGTGCAATATATATATATATGCCATTACAACTCTGCAATATATACCTGGCTGTTTAAATCCTCTGAACTGTTACAGGATGTGTATTTTGTAAAATGTGTAACTTGATTATAATGTCTTGTTTTAATACTTTGTTGTATGCATTGTTGAAGAGAGGAAGAAAATGGAACAATGTATTTTATTATATAAAGCTTAAATATGCTAAAAACTGTGTTGAAACTCTGAATGCCATAGTCATGTATCGTATAGTTTAATGCTTTAGCAATATAAACAGGATGTTAACCACAGCAACGAAGAAGGACACCTCTAAACGCACCAGCTTGCACGCAAAGGATGTGACAAACCACGTGTCAGGACCATGTGACAAACCACGTGTCAGACCATGTGACAAACCACGTGTCAGACCATGTGACAAACCACGTGTCAGACCATGTGACAAACCACGTGTCAGACCATGTGACAAGCTGCGGGAAAGAAGAGGATAAAAGAAGACTGAAGAAGCAGAGAGCAGTTCCTTTTTTGAACCCAGTTCGAACTTGAACTCTCCTGCTTTAGCAAGCCACGGAAGACGATCGTATTACTTACTCGTATTTAGGCAAAGATCTCGGATGTAATATGTATCTGGGCAAAACGCATTTAATTTATTATTAGTGTGTGGTGTTATAACTTGTGAAACTTTAATAAAACTACCTGTTCACATTTGTGAGAGGAAACTAAAGTCCATGTAGCCCTTCTGATTATTGTTGGATAAGTGACAAGTCAGACGGCAAAAGTAACCTGTTCTCACGTAGCTTGAGTCCTGAGTCCAGTTTGATTCCAGTGTCCTGTTCCTTGGCTGAGGATCAATCCCTGACGGAGTCTTGCAGAGACACCAGAGAGAACAATAGGTAAGTCGCACCTAAGATAACTGTTGCTGAATTCTATGTCATATTGGAGGTCGCCACGATCGGTGGATCTTAAATACGGCAGCAGTGCTTTACGGGTATTGAATCCCAAGGTTTCAGAGGTGTGTTCATTAAGGTCTGTGTTTAAAGTCTAAAGGGAAAAACTAACAGGGTAAAAGTTTAAACTGATTAATGGAGGTATTATAGAAAGAAGGGAGTTTGTCGGTACCTCGTGGTGGTGTGTGGGTCACACCTTTTATGCCCGGTCTGAGTAAAACCGTAACCTTTTAACAGTATGCTTTAGGTAACATGAAGCTGTCTCTGGCCTCTTTCTGCTGGAACAATTGTACATTTCTCCTCTGGGACTAATAAAGGGATTCTGATTCTGATACACCTACAGGAGCTTTCAGGACATCCCATTCCAAACTCTTAGGCATTCATTTGAAGTTTGGTCCCCCCTTTGCAGCTATAACAGCTTCCACTCTTCTGGGAAGGCTTTCTACAGATCTTGGAGTGTGTCTGTGGGAAGCCCTTTCATCCAGAAGAGCATTAGTGAGGCTCACACACTGATGTTGGACGAGAGGCTGGCCTCTCCGTTCTAGTTCATCCCAAAGGTGTTCAGTGGGGTTGAGGGTCAAGCTCTTCCACACCAAACTCATCCACCCAGGCCTCTATGGAGCTGCTTTGTGGGGCTCAGTCATGCTGGAACAGAAAGCTTCTTCCTCCACAGACTGTTTTTCTGGCTGTTTTCCACCAGATTGAGACTTGAGTTTCTTGGTGTTTTTCACAACAAATAAAATGCTCAAAACTCAAAAAAGTATTCTTGCTAATCATTGATGAATTACACACTGTGAAGAATAAATAATACATGTAAAAAATGCATCAAAGTCAATGTTGGTGCCAATTTGTATCTGTTTTAGAAAATAAATACAAATACAAAATAATATCAGTGTTGTGTCTTTATGTAAACGAGCTGAGGAACTCTATGTTCACGCTCTCCTGGATATAAACCCAACAGATCTTGGATCAAATCTGCTTTGAATGATCTTCTTTATTTGACCTCGTACCTCCGCCCAGAACACCTTCAACTTTCTGCACCGCCAAACACAGAGAAACCACGTTCCCCTTGATTCTGTGCATGTTAAACATATATCTGGTATATTTTCATATCGGTTTTAAATTCAGCGGATCAAACTCCCGTGACCTCATGTTCTGTGGCCCGCAAGAGCGTGCAAAGAATATAATATACAACACAATTGGTGTAATTGTTGAATATTTGCTTTTTATTATTTGCCCGAGACTTCTGCTTTCAGACGTAGTTATTTATGAAGTTATTACCAGAACTGATAATAATCCAATGCAGAGCCAATAATATGAAACATTATTACCTCTGTTCCCAGATATCTGACTTTTCTTTCTCTTAGAATTTGACTTTTTTCTCAGAATTTGACTTTTTTCTTAGAATTTGACTCTTTTCTCAGAATTGATGGACTTTTTTCTCAGAATTTGACTTTTTTCTTAGAATTTGACTTTTTTCTCAGAATTTGACTCTTTTCTTAGAATTTGACTTTGTTTCTCCAGAATTTGACTTTTTTTTACAGAATTTGACTTTTTTCTTAGAACTTGACTTTTTTCTCAGAACTTGACTTTTTTCTCAGAACTTGACCTTTTTCTCATAATTTGACTTTTTTTCTCAGAACTTTTTTTTTTTTTGAGCACTGAAGAAACTTGTAATTATCTGCCTAGACTTCTGCTTTCAGACGTAGTTAATTATAAAGTTATTACCCAATCCGATGCAGAGGCACTAATACAATATAATACATTATTTTATATATATTATATATGTATATTTATATAGTCTTAAAGTTTAAAACCGGCCCTTTGAGTGCTACCTTAATGCTGATGTGCCCCGTGATGAGATTGAGTTTGACCCCCTGCATTACAGTGATCCTTTTTAACATCTCTGGTTCAGCAGGAGGTTGAGATTAGGAACAAAGGTTATAGGAGCCAGCATGGCTTATTCAGCCTGAGGCAATCATCTCCATTATTGTTGTTATTTTAGATCACACACATCTGTATATTAATCATCCCTTCAGGTGTTTGTCACGTGGGTCTTGTTGGTTTGTTTTCAGTCCACCTGTTGTTTGCCGTAATGAATACGACACAGAGGCTGAGCTCATGTTCTGATGAACGTTTGCTCCTCTCTAAGTTACAAACTGTAAAGAGAGAAATGTAGAATGTGTGATATTGGGTTTTATAAAGAAACTCTCATTCATTGATTCCTCTTCTTCTTTTCGTTTCGTTGCAGAGTTTTGATATTTATCTGTTCTGGTTTTCCTCTCCGGAGCGTTGTTGTTCCTCTTTACCGACTCATCTCAGCAGGTCACTTTGTATGAAGACTATTTAACAACACTAAAATGCATTTCCAATTAAAAAGGATAATAACATATTGAACCCCTCGTCTTCCTCCCCTCAATAAAGGAGTCAAGTGTTCTTCTCCTCTGCTGGTATGAGCACCGGCATGATCGCCCTCTCTCATCATCGTCTTCTCTTCATTCTGGCTCGCTTCCTGCCGAAGGTAAGGACTCATGTACTGCCATGTTGAACAGATATTGGGTTTTCCTCCAGAGGGTGGCTGGCATCTCCTTTAGGGATGAGGTGAGGTCAGTCATGGGGAGGGGCTTTTCATACCAAGGACACCTTAACCAATCAACAAACACTCACGGACCACCTGACTCCCCCAGACATCCAGAACCAAAAGGCCCTGCTCACCACTCCAAACAGTTTATAACAAACTACAGCCTGATGACAGCTTCACTTCTCTGTATCGCCTCGTTCACACATTAAATCAACAATACAAAACAACTACAGATTCTACAAGCATTTCCTTCATATGAGATTTGAAATGCTCACAGGTTTTACACCTCGTATGAAAAGTAGACGACATTTATTACAGAGTTTATGTCCGAGCCGACAGACTCTCAGAAAGATCGTTCTTTACTGAGAGAAATGCAAAATGCCTGATAATACGACTCAAACCTCCACTGTGGATTTTCATAATAAAATACAAACTATGGTTGCAGGCCCGAGTTCAACATGAACTCAAACATTAACACAAGTTCATTATTTACACTGTTCCATTTATTTAGCATTGGGATAAGCGTTAAAAGATCGATGGATGGTCTATACGCAGGGGTGGGCAATTATGTTTTACAAGGGAAACTCAGAAACTCGAGCTGTGTGTGGGGGGCCGAATCAAAAATAAGTTGAACTTAATTTGCTCATATATACCAATACTGAAAAGGTGTTTTACAGTATGTAAAGATAAGAAATGAATCTGCTTTATACAAAAAGAAATGAGTGCTTTTGATTTTGTTTTCAGTTAATTTTACTTGTTCAGTGAGAAAATCCAGTCTGTCTTGGGCTTGAAGGCAAAGTACACGGAAATCTGGTTCAA